ATGCTGGTCATCATGGTGACAATGATGGTGATGACAGTGAATGATACAAGGGTGATGCTGGTCATCATGGTGACCATGATGGTGATGACAGTGAATGATACAAAGGTGATGCTGGTCATCATGGTGACCATGATGGTGATGACAGTGAATGATACAAAGAGTGATGCTGGTCATCATGGTGACAATGATGGTGATGACAGTGAATGATATAAAGGTGATGCTGGTCATCATGGTGACCATGATGGTGATGACAGTGAATGATACAAAGGTGATGCTGGTCATCATGGTGACAATGATGGTGATGACAGTGAATGATACAAGAGTGATGCTGGTCATCATGGTGACAATGATGGTGATGACAGTGAATGATACAACAGTGATGCTGGTCATCATGGTGACAATGATGGTGATGACAGTGAATGATACAACAGTGATGCTGGTCATCATGGTGACAATGATGGTGATGACAGTGAATGATACAACAGTGATGCTGGTCATTATGGTGACCATGATGGTGATGACAGTGGATGATACAAGGGTGATGCTGGTCATCATGGTGACCATGATGGTGATGACATTGGATGATACAAGGGTGATGCAGGTCATCATGGTGACAATGATGGTGATGACAGTGAATGATACAAGAGTGATGCTGGTCATCATGGTGACAATGATGGTGATGACAGTGAATGATACAACAGTGATGCTGGTCATCATGGTGACAATGATGGTGATGACAGTGAATGATACAACAGTGATGCTGGTCATCATGGTGACAATGATGGTGATGACAGTGAATGATACAACAGTGATGCTGGTCATCATGGTGACCATGATGGTGATGACATTGGATGATACAAGGGTGATGCTGGACATCATGGTGACAATGATGGTGATGACAGTGGATGATACAAGGGTGATGCTGGTCATCATGGTGACCATGATGGTGATGACAGTGAATGATACAAAAGTGATGCTGGTCATCATGGTGACCATGATGGTGATGACAGTGAATGATACAAGGGTGATGCTGGTCATCATGATGACCATGATGGTGATGACATTGGATGATACAAGGGTGATACTGGTCATCATGGTGACAATGATGGTGATGACAGTGGATGATACAAGGGGTGTATGACGTGACATGTACAATCATGGTGACCATGATGGTGATGACAGTGAATGATACAAGGGTGATGCTGGTCATCATGGTGACCATGATGGTGATGACAGTGGATGATACAAGGGTGATACTGGTCATCATGGTGACCAAGATGGGTGACCTGGTCATCAAGGTGACCATAAAGGGTGACACTGGGTAGTGTGGTGAGTGGTGACCTTCATATGAAGGGTAACACAGGGTATCATGGTGACCATGAAGGGTGACACTGGGTATCATGGTGTCCATGAAGGGTGACACTGGGTATCACAGTGACCATGAAGGGTGACATTGGGTATCATGGTGACCATGAAGACACTGGATATCATACTGACCATGAAGGGTGACCCTGGGTGTCATAGTGACCACATAAAGGGTATCATGGTGACCATGAAGGACGACACAGGACATCATGGTGACCATGAAGGATGACACTGGACATTGTGGTGACCATGAAGAATGATACTGTCTATCATGGTGACTATGAAGTATGACAGTGGATATAATGGTGACTATGAAGGGTGACACAAGAGATAATGGTGACCAGGGTAAGAAAAATCTGTCGCTACACAGAACAGCTGGACTTGGAAACACTTTAAGATCCCCAGACACAAACATACATATGACGAATGACAGTGCAGAACAATGATGACATTCTGGGTGAGAGGTGAGTTACAACAACATACTGGGTGAGAGGTGAGGTGCAACAACATACTGGGGGTAAGAGGCGAAGTACAACAACATACTGGGGGAGGGAGGTGAGGAACAACAACATACTGGGTGAGAGGTGAGGTACAACAACATACTGGGTGAGAGATGAGGTACAACAACATACTGGGGTGAGAGGTGAGGTACAACAACATACTGGGGGTGAGAGGTGAGATACAACAACATACTAGGGGTGAGAGGTGAGGTAGCAGCTTGCTCTAAACCCATGTTGCCCTGAGTTGCATAACTGATGGGTATCTAGGTGAGAGGTGATCTTGCTTCTTGAAAGCCTTTCAAAGATTTTTATGATATGGGATGTTAGTACTATATGTCTGTAATTCTTCGCAATTGCTTTATTGCCATCTTTGTGGAGCAGGGCTATGTCTGTTGCTTTTAGTGACTATGGGATGGCCCCTGTGTCCATGCTCCCTCTCCATAGAATGCTGAAGACACATGAAGGGGCTTCTTGCAGTTCTTGATGAACATGGAGTTCCACAAGTCAAGGCCTTTAGCTGAGTGCATGGGTATGTCGGTCATGTGGTTTCAGGATAATATTGGAGATTTTTGAATTGACCAATTTTTGAGTCTCAGTCATAAAAAATTTGTTTAGATATTCGGCTCTTAGTCTGGTGAATGGCTCACTAAACATTGAGTCATACTGGGACTTTAGTATCTCACTCATTTCTTTTCTGTCATCTGTGTAAGTCCCATTTTGTCTAAGCAGGGGTCCAATACTGGATGATGGTTTGGCCTTAGATTTGTCATAAGAAAAGAAATTTTTTTTCTCCAATTTCATCAAAGGCTTTAAGTTCTTCCTGAGTTTCTTGGCTCCTGTATGATTATTTGAACTTAATTTCAATATCTGCGATTTCTCTGACCCATGCCTCCCTTCGTATTTCAGATATATTGGCCCCTTTCAGCAGCTCTATGATTCATCATCTTCACCTGAATAGGAAGCATCTCTGTTTCTAGTTTACAACTTCTCTTCCTTTTTCTTAAAGGAATGTGACTTAATCATACTCAGTCCAAGTTAATTCCTAGCAGAGGCTGTTTCATTTAGGACATGGTGGACTTGATCCCACTGCATGTTTTTGTTACTGAAGTTGAATATGGCAAAGGCACCTTCACAAGCGGTCACCTTTTGCTGGTCAGGAACCCTGTGCATACATGTCTGTACCTCTATTATGTTGTGGTGTGAGTGTAATCTTTGATATTGTTATATTCTGTATCAGATCATCATTGCTGGTGAAGATATGGTCTAGTGTGTTTTCCAGTCTTGTTGGCTATATTATTTGCTGGCTTAAAGTGAATTTGTTGCAGAGATTTAATAGCTTGTGTGTGTGTGAATTTTCCTCTGAGCTGCCTCCTGGGGTTATCTCTGTTAAAACATTATTTGCTACACTCTTCCACTTTAGGTGTCTTAAGTTGAAATCACCCAGCAGCAAGATGTTTGAGGTAGGAGTTGGGAGGTTTTCTAGACAGTGGTCAATTTTCAAATGCTGTTCATGAAGTTGTTGGAAAGTAGCATCCGGAGGCTTGTATTCAACTACAATGACAAGATTTTAGTTTTCAATCTTTACTGCCAAAACTTCAACTACATCATTTGAAGTGTTTAGTAGTTCCAAACAAATGAGCGACTCTGTGACATACAGGCCAACCCCCTTCCCTTCTGCTATCTGTTTACTTTGTCACATCTGACTAAGTTACAGCCTGGGATCCATATTTCATTGTCAAAGTGATCCTTTATGTAGGTCTCTGTTAAAGCTGCAAAAATTGCATTTGACTCTGTGAGCAGTCCCTTGATGAAAGGTATTTTGTTGTTTCTTGATGGCTTTAAACCCTGTATGTTTATAAATATATATGTTGTCTTGTTGATGGTATACAGGGATCTTTGTTTGCTGGAATTAATATCTGTTGTTCTGTAGAGAAGGCCAATAACTGTGCCTCTGCTTCATAAGTGTTTTGAGTTTGTGTAGGATTTCTGTCATTTTTTGCCAGTTTTCATTTTTTCTTGGCACTAAAATACCTCCGTCTCTGGAATGGTTATGACTCCTCTGGATTATTTCCCATAAGGGTGATCAGTATTTTTTTGCCCCTTTTAGGTGGTGCACCTGACAATATAGACTGTAGCATTGTTATTCCTGGACTAAAGAGTGGCACATTTCAGGGAGAAAAAATTACAGGACAAAGAGGTGCATTCTTCTGTTGTCATGAGTGTGAGGAATTTTTGGGGAAGTTCAAAATTGCATGTCCCACCTGCTCTTCCAGATATTCCATGCCTGCAGATACACAAGGCATTGAATTTGCATAGATTTGATTTCTTTTTAGGATGCTTTGTGCCTGTATTCCCTACTGGTGTATTTTTCTCTGTCTCCTCATTACCTACAGCCACTATACATTACCAGTTTTTTCTGGCAATGTACCAACAGTCTTCCCTGAAGCATTGGCTCCATTTATTCCATCTCCAGCAGCAGTGCTACCTTGTACCTCTGGAATTTGTATAGTGTTGTGAGGTAGAGGTGAGGTAGAACAACATACTGGAGGGAGAGAGGTGAGGTAGAACTTATCAGAGGGTGAGAGGTGAAGCAGAACATACCAGAGTGAGGTGAGGTACCACAACAAACTGGAGGGTGAGAGGTGATGTAGAACAACATACTGGAGGGTGAAACATGAGGCAGAACACACAAGAGGGTGAGAGTGAGGTAAAGCAACATATTGAAAGGTAAGAAGTGAGGTAGAGCAACATTAGTGGAGGTGAGAGAGGTTTGGGTAGGTGAGGAACAACATACTGGAGGGTGAGAGGTGAGGTAGAACAACATACTGGAGGGTGAGAGTGAGGTAGACAACATTTTCAGAGGGTGAAAAGTGAGGTAGAACAACATACTGGAGGGTGAGAGGTGAGGTAGAACAACATACCGGAGGGTGAGAGGTGAGGTACAAAACATACCGGAGGGTGAGAGGTGAGGCAAATAACATACTGAGGGGAGAGTGAGGTAGACAACATATGAGGGTGAGAAGTGAGGAGCAATAACATACTGGAGGGTGAGAGGTGAGGTAGAACAACATACTAGAGGGTGAGAGTGAGGTAGAACAACATACCAAGGGTGAGAGGTGAGGTAGAACAACATACCGGAGGGTGAGAAGTGAGGTAGAACTCCCTGTACTTGTGGTGAGTAATGTGAGTATCAACAACAGTTCCTGGAGGCACGTTGGACACCTCACCTTCACCTTCCTTCTCTTCCCAGAAGAACCTGGACACAACAGTATTATTAATAAAAATAATGATATATAATATTGTACAAGACTCAACTATATTTATATTATTATGTAAGCTAGTACACATAATGTTCTACATTACAGGAACAATATACACATGTTGCCAAGTATAAATGGAAACTTGTGATATTAACCTTTGAAAAATACTCAGATATTTGTATTATCTTTCACTGTTGTACAACACTAATAAATACTTTTGTTTATCACTTTAAATCTCAAGTTGTTCTCAATAATGTTGTATAAACGGGTTTGGCAAATATAATATGAACATCAGTTCCTGAAAGCTCATCGTATGCTGAAGTTATCGTTAGCTGAATTAATTTTCCCCATAAGAAATAATGGAAATCAAATTAATCTGCGCAAGACACCACAAAGTATGAAAAAAAAAAATTACCACATGAAATATTAATTTTAATACACACAAACTGACACTTACCTTTATTGAAGATCTGGTGATGATTGATTCATACAGCATTTGAATGACATTCATGGAAATTTTGAGTCATTTCTCAAGCAAAACCTGCTTTAACCCTTCCAAAAACAAAATAAATTTTTACAGTGGTTCTGAGGGCATACAAATGTATCCATTAAACAGTGATGTTATATGTAATGAGTGAGAAAGATACAGTGAATAAGTGTTGGAGAGAAGTGGAGGAAATTCGTTCTGATTTGCTGTTCCAAAAGACCCCACTAATAATATCTTTTTTACTACAAGGTATACAGGCCTAGTTGACATCAATGACATACTACTATATAGAAAGCCCCATGTTATGTAGATGAATGGTTCAGAGAACCGACATGTTGATAAATTAGACATGTGTGCAACTCTTGGGTATCTTTATTGAGGAAACGTTTCGCCACACAGTGGCTTCATCAGTCCATAAAAGGAAACGTGGCAAAACGTTTCCTCAATAAAGATACCCAAGAGTTGCACATGTGTCTAATTTATCAACATGTCGGTTCTCTGAACCATTCATCTACAAACCTGTCAGACACTGCAACTTCTTGGGATCTTAATACTTGGGAATTCTTCGCTTGCCTAATTCTTGGGCACGACCTACTTCCACATTGAACAAATGTGACACCACCTATGACTGCTGCACCTCTCCTGCTACGGTTTATGAGCTCCTTCTCAGCACGTATGCCGTATTCTATTCAAGATTGATGGACTGACCACATCGACTCAAGGTTGAGGGACTGTTTACCTCATTCTCCTCCTGTTCTTCAAGATTCTCCTTTGTATGGACTGATGAAGCCACTGTGTGGTGAAACGTTTCCTCAATAAAGATAGAAATAAATGGTATAAAATACCGACACAATGGAAATATAAACACATATGCAGTATAATGTGATCCTTTATTGACTACGTTTCGCCCACACAGTGGGCTTTTTCAAGTCACAAACAGAACTACCTGGGGTGGAAGGAACGCGAGTATTTATAGTCAGGTTCAGAGTGCTGAGGTCAGGTGGAGAATGCTGCATCTGATGATGTACCGAGTGGGGTTATAGAGTCTAAAATCTTGGGTAGCTTGGAAAGGAGATTGGACAAGTTTGTGAGCAGACCTTCTACAGTGTTCTTATGTGGGATAGCGATGAAGAAGCTTTTTGGCAAGTGGTTCAGCTATGTTATAGAAGCCACTATTCTGGTTGAAGTTGTCGGATATAGAATTAAGCGATGATTCCAGGATTCTTCGGTATTGAGTGTTGTCTTCTGTGGCGATAAGTCTTGAGTTTCTGTAGTTTATCAAGTGGTTGTGTGAATTACGGTGTTGTACGCAGGCATTCCTTGTGTCGTCAGACCTGCTTGCGTATTGGTGTTCTGAAATATGTGTTTGGAGGTCCCTTGATGTTTTGCCAATGTATAACTTGTTGCAGTCATTACAAGGGATTATGTATACCCCTGCAGAGCGTGGAAGCTTGTCCTGTCTATCACTGGTAATGTCCTTGATGGTCGTGGTTGTGGAGGTAGATACTTGAAATGAGGTATTGGAAAAGATGTTGGAAACATGTTTGGCAATGGAGTTGGTGGGGAGGACTATGTATCTCATCTTGGCAGTGTCTTCTCTGGGTGTGTTGAAGATGTTTAATGCCTGTCGTCTGCAGTCAGAATCTGCAGCAATGAGTTTCTTGAAGAATGCACGATGATTGAACAAGTATTTTCTAAACTTCACTATCCTCGTCACTTCATCAGAGACTGCAGACGACGGGCATTAAACATCTTCAACACACCCAGAGAAGACACTGCTGAGAAGAGATACATAGTCCTCCCCACCAACTCCATTGCCAAACACGTTTCCAACATCTTTTCCAATACCTCATTTCAAGTATCTACCTCCACAACCACGACCATCAAGGACATTACCAGTGATAGACAGGACAAGCTTCCACCCTCTGCAGGGGTATACATAATCCCTTGTAATGACTGCAACAAGTTATACATTGGCAAAACATCAAGGGACCTCCAAACACATATTTCAGAACACCAATACGCAAGCAGGTCTGACGACACAAGGAATGCCTGCGTACAACACCGTAATTCACACAACCACTTGATAAACTACAGAAACTCAAGACTTATCGCCACAGAAGACAACACTCAATACCGAAGAATCCTGGAATCATCGCTTAATTCTATATCCGACAACTTCAACCAGAATAGTGGCTTCTATAACATAGCTGAACCACTTGCCAAAAAGCTTCTTCATCGCTATCCCACATAAGAACACTGTAGAAGGTCTGCTCACAAACTTGTCCAATCTCCTTTCCAAGCTACCCAAGATTTTAGACTCTATAACCCCACTCGGTACATCATCAGATGCAGCATTCTCCACCTGACCTCAGCACTCTGAACCTGACTATAAATACTCGCGTTCCTTCCACCCCAGGTAGCCGAGAAATCTCTTGCAATGATGTTCAAGGGACCAGATCCTATGAATAGATTACGTATTCAGGATATAGAACTTGAGTGGACAGGCTCCTACCTGTACTTGGGAATCTACATTGATAAAAAGCTGACCTTTCAGAAACAGGCCGAGTATGTCAGGTCACGTGCTCTACTCAGACTCAACGCCATGAGAGCCATGACGAGGCACCGTGCAGGGGCAAGCAAAGATGTACTTCGCTTGTACTATATACAAGCTATTTGCTCGCTCATTGACTACGGTGCACCGGCTTTAGCTCATCTCTTCCCGCAGAGCAGGCAAAGGGTGGAGGTCGTACAAAACCAGGCGATAAGAACTATGCTTGGTGCCCCCATCTGGACCAACACAGTATGTCTCAGATCTGAGGCCCGGCTTCCTTCCTTGGCTGACAGAGTAAGATACATAAACGCCTGCAAAGTGGCCACGATTCTGCACCGGCAGCAAGGTACCCCACTGAGGAGATGGATATTAACAACCATGTCACAAGATCCCACACTCTTCACGGACTACTCCTGGATTCGTTCGTTTTGTGCTGCTGGGCGGAAGCTGCTGCCTGTACAGCTGCTCTGTGAGAAGAGTTGTGACCTTCCTGTTGCTGGGTACCATCCACCACCTTCCTGGCGCCCAGATCCAGCCGATGTTTTCATCATGCAGCTACCCATCTCTAAGTGTCTCTGCAGTCAAGACACCCTCAGCAATCATGCTGAGACAAGCATGGCACTGGCAGAGGGAGGCACATGTGCAGTGTATTTCACAGATGGTTCTGTCGACCCTGACAGGAAGAGAGCAGCAGCTGGACTGTACCACAATGGTCACACACAAGGCTGGCGACTCCCTGACCACTGCACGATCCTTCAAGCTGAGCTGGTGGCGATTCAGCAGGCATTGTCACATGCCCTACGACATCGACTCCGACCTGTCATACATGTTGATTCCACCTCTGCAATCAATGCCCTCTCCCATCCTCAACCACAGGATAATGTTCACCTCATCACATCGATCCTGAGCATAATGACAGCCTTAGAAGTTCAGGGTAATAGATCGACATTGAACTGGATCCCCAGCCATGCTGGCATCTGGGGAAATGAGGCGGCAGATGATGCAGCCAAGGCAGCAACAGACTATCCACATGTTGGGATTACTGTCCCAATCAGCCTACGACAGACCAAACTGGTGGCTGCCAGAGCCACGAAACTTATGGGGGAGGTCTTAGGTGATACCCCATCTCAACAGTGGTACCGAGCAGCGACTCAGGGAGAACCCCCTCCATATGATAGAAGCTGGTCCAGAGCGCAGTGTACCGCCATCCATCGGCTTCGTTTGGGCTTTCCCACAGCCAAGAGGATGGTAGACAAGGCAGAGGAGATGTGCCAGTACTGTCAGCACGTTGTCCAGCGGCCCCTAACACACTATCTTCTAGAGTGCGAAGCTACTGAGACACTCCGTAGGCAACTAGGGGTGATATTCCCTCCCGAAGAGGACCCAGAGATGACTGCGGCCACACTAGTGTACCATGGGGTCAACAAACCAGACAAGCTTTTGCCTGTAATAATGACGTATCCTCCTCCTCGCTAGTGTCCATAGTTACATATGGTGTCGCTTATGAGATGCACCAGTTGAACTGACCAGAGGGGCGCTTGAGCGGCATGCGTCGCATCATTGTGGAAACCTTTCTCCATCGGGAGCCAGAGACGGGTCATCGCAAGATTGGGACCCGTGCCAGGACTATGGTCTTGGCGAACATTATACATACATACACCCCAGGTAGTTCTGTTTGTGACTTGAAAAAGCCCACTGTGTGGGCGAAACGTAGTCAATAAAGGATCACATTATACTGCATATGTGTTTACATTTCAATAAAGATACCCAAGAGTTGCACACGTGTCTAATTTATCAGCCCCTTGTTATGTTGAGCATTTCAGGCAAATTAGGTCAATTTTGTCCCCAGGATACAACCCACATTAGTCGACTAACATCCAGGTACCTAATTTACTGATTGATGAACATGGACGGCAGGTGTCTTATGGAAACATGTCCTAATGTTTGCCAGCCAT